CCAAAGGAAACGAATAACAGACATGTGGGTGAAGGGAGACAACGGACAGTGTAAGATATGAAATAATAATAACAATCTATAACTGATCAAGGATTCAGGGTGGGAGGATGGGGGAGAGAGGGGTAAAACACGGAGCTTATACCCAGGGCTGCAGTAGGGCATGTTTTGTACATGATGATGACATAGGTACAAATATGCTTGACACAATCGATGTCTAAGAGCTGCAAGAGCCCCCAATAAAATGATTTTTAAAATAAAAAAGATAAGCTAAACAACAAAGCACTGAAGAGTGTCCAACATGCTACCCATCCATACACAGAGGAGCCCTGGGGGGCAGCAGGTTAGGTGTCTGCCGCCCAAGTGGTCCAAACCCACCCGACTCGGAGGGGGGAGAGGAGGCCCTCTGCCCCCAGGATGGCGAGGTCCAGGGGCCCCGGGGAGCAGCTCTGCTTGCTGTACGTGGCGGGGACCCGTGTGGAGTCGGAATCCCTGTTGGCGTGGCGTGTATGTGGAAACTGTGGAAAGAGACTATGGAGCTGTTGATTTACAGGGCAGGGGAGACTGGGCCAATGAGGGGCAACGGAGGCAAGAGAGTTCCACACATTTATTCACGGCTCCGGCTTTCAAGACCCCTTGAGAGTTTGGCCCACTCAAAAACCAAATTTAAAAATGGACCACGAAAACATGTTTCACAATATTGTCATTTACTCATCCAGCAAATACCTATCGAGCACTTCCCACCAAACCTAGTTCCTGCCCTCAGGGAGCTTATCTGCCCTCCTCACTGCACAGGTGCCCTGGCCACAGGGACAGTCACCCTTTGGACGGATGACCACCAGGGTGACAGTCCAAACCCCACCAGGTGCTCGATCCTCAGGAGAAAGACATGGAGATGTATCCCGTAAAGAGTGACAGTCTGGGATACCCCACAGGGGCAGTGCCACCCCTGTCCCCGGCTCGCTGTGAGTCGGCATGGGCTCAATGGCAGAGAGGTTGATCTCCCTGCAGGGTGCATATCCACAACTCAGCTTCCACTGTTATTGGTCACACACACACACACAGGTCATATCAGTGTGTGCGCGTGTATGTGCATGTGTTGTGTGTATATACATGCATGTATTGTGTGTGCCTATGTATTTATGTAAGTATGTGTACGTGTATGTAAATGTGTGTTTATGTGTGTATATGTATGTGTACAAGAGTGCATGTGTGTATGTGTGCAGGTATTATGTATATGTCTATATATGTAAGTGTGGGTACGTGTGTAAATGTGTGTTTGTGTGTGTGAGTAAATGTGTATGTGTGTGTGTAAATGTGTGTGTGTGTTAGTGTGTGTGTGTACGTGGAGGGGGGGGAGAAAGAGAGGTATATGCTTGAGCGCCCCCCTGACTCAGCTACATCTTCCTCTCAGAAGACGAAATCAGAAAGCATGACAGGAAACTGGGGGGTAGAAGGCCCATCCTGGGCAGACACACACACCCTAGAGGAGGCTGCAGTGCCTGGCAGGGTGTGCTTGTCACGGAGGGCAGGAAATGAGGGACAGCAGGCACTGTCTCACAGCCCCCCTCCCAGCCTGCCTGGACCCTGGCATGCTTCCCACCCCACCAGCACCTATTTCCCCAGAGGCTGCCCAAGGTAACTCCAAATAGTCTTCTACTTCAGCCCAGAGAAAGACAAAAGAAAAGTTTTCGAGGACTGCCCGGGATTTCCTAGGAAAAGTCCAGGCCAAAGTATCACTACAAAAATCCTCGGGTCTCAAGGACGTAGCCAGTGCCCACGAAACAGCTGAAACAGAGGACAGTGGACTCAGACGTCCCTCCCACGGCAGCCTCTCAGGCTCACGGGAAGGGGCCTGCCATCGGCCCTCTGAAACCCAGAGGCTGAACATATGCCTGGTTGGCTTCCCACCTCCCAACAGCAGCCAGGATCTTCCTTAGAAGCTTGGAGCATGCTATCAGGAGAGACCAGTCCCTGGAGAAGGGCATCAGGCTTGGGAAAGTGTCCAGCCAGGGCAGCAAAACCGAGGGAGACAGGACAGACGGGCATCATGGCTGCAGCAACGGGGCTCCACGGTGACAAGAGTGGTGAGGAGGGGCAGGGCCCGGCGGGGTTTCGTTCTGACGTGAACGGGGTTGCTGTCAGAGCAGACTTGACAGCCCCTAACAGTGACAGCCCAGTAAAGGCGAGCAACCACCCGATGCTTCCAGCAGCGTCTGGGTTACAAAACCGCATCCCTCGGGCCTAAGACTGAGCAAACGCCCTAGGCTGCCACTAATACTTTAGTGTGAATGAGCTGCTTTGTGTCTGGTGACAACCAGAAAGCCAATGCCCCAGAGTCGATGATGCCGACTCACAGTCAGCTGTCGGACAGAGGAGACCGGCTCCTTCGTTTTCCCCAGACTGTGAATCTTTACAGGAGCGGAGAGACGCGTCTTTCTCCCCAAGATGCGCCGGTGAGTCTGAACTTGTGACGTTGAGCTCAGCAGCCCGAGCCGGGCCCACAGAGGGCAGGGCAGTGTTGGGCTCTCTGGTGCATAGCCTCGCTGTGAGTCAGCCCTGACTCAGTGGCACCTGACAACAACAACAACAACATGCTCAGTCTCTGTGCGCATCTGACGCCGAGCCCGCTTCCACGGGCTGCCGAATCGGGTGCGGTCATTCGAAGACTGCACAAACCCGGTCTGTGTAGGAGCGCGCAGAGAACGAACACTGGAGAGAAACGGAGCACAGTCCATGAGGGTATGGCGGGGTACATTTTGGCACCTCCATACAGTGACCCATTTAAAGGGGGGCGCGTTTAATCAGTAAACACACTGACCCGGAAAAGCATCCGCACATAGCGTGCTCCAAGCACATGAGGCGAAGCTTCCTGGCTTCTGAGTAGAAGTAAACCATTAGACTTCGATACAAGTACGTGCGTGCGTGTGCGTGCGTGCGCGTGCGTGCGTGTGTGTGTGTGTGTGTGTGTGCGCGTGCGCGCGCATGCCTTGGCATTCTAGATCAAGATGCACACGCTGGGAACACAGGGCACCTCTAGAATGAAGTGACAGGGTGGGGGTGGCCGGGTGGAAGGTGGGAGCTCGTGCCTCATTCTCTCCTGAAACGTCTGAAGTCACGGAGGTTGCTGGTAATTTTGATCCCATTTCAATAATAATTTCTTTTCAGTGTTATCGAAAATGCACACAGCCAAGCATGCCGCCATGCAGTCATTTCACATGACCCAGCCAGTGACACCGGTCACGTTCTTTGAGGTAAGAGGAGGTGTTGCCTGCATGTCTGTGGCGTGTTGTACACACTCAGCTACCGCCGTATGTCCACACAGGCAAGATGACCACCGAGAAGACCCCACGGGGCTCCGTTCTACTCTGACACCTGGAGAGGAGCACGCCCTGGTGGCGTAGTGGTTATGTGTTGGGCTGCTGCCACCGGGTCCGCAGTTCAAAACCACCAGCCTCTCTGAGGGAGAAAGATGAAGGTTTCTACTCCCATAAGGAGTTAGAGCCTCAGAAGCCCATGGGGGCGGTTCTACAGGGTCGCTGTGGGCCAACACAGACCTGGTGGCAGTGTGCTTGCTTTGGGGTTCATTGAGACTAGATCCTAGCTCTTTGCAGCATCCAAACCCTTCCCAGTGGTGTCACAAGTCAGGTGAAGGATCAACAAGACACCAGAGGCTCCTGGGAGCTCCCCTCCCGCCCCCCCCGCCCCTGGGGGGCTGGTCCTGGTTACTGTGGGACTGATGGCCCCACCCCAGGGGAGGGTGAAGGCAGGCAGGGCTCTGTGAGTTGGTGAGGAGCCCTGCAGGCAGTAGTGGGATCCAGCCGGCTTACACCCGTTTGGCAGAACCTGTACCTGGTTTTCTGTTGGATTCAGCAAACAAGCTGTTAACATGGCATTTGTAATCAGCCTTCTCTCCTAGGTGCAGAAATCGATGTGGAAACCACTGGCTTACAATCCTTGCTCCTTTTTAACATTCATCTGCACAACAGCAGCGTCCTGGTAGCATGTCAAAATCATAAACCACCTTCCAGTACACCGAGTTCTTATACTTAGAACAGTCGGTCGGGCAACGACCCGGGTGCTGGATTATGTGAACCCCACCGCTGTCTGCAGGGCTCCCGTTTTACAGTCGCCGGATCTCTAGGAGGTTGGGAGCGGGTCTCACCGCCATGGAGCGGAGGCCGACTCACAGGGGCCCTACAGAGCAGGGGAGAGCTGCCCCTATGGGTTGCTGAGACCCCGTAACTCTTCACGGGAGCAGAAAGCCTCCTCTCTCTCCTGTGCAGCGACTGGCGGCGCTGACCTAGTGCCCAACACTTGGCGAAGAGAGCGCTTCTGGGAAGCCCTGAAGGAATGCCTCTTGAAGGGGCAGCAGTGCCTCCTGGTTTCTTCCAGGTGTGACTCCCGACCTCCCTCCAGAAGGCTTTATGCAGAGCAAGCGGGGGTGGGGGTGGGGGCTGGTGCCAGATACAGCAGAGGGTCCAGGGTTAGAGGTTCCACGGGTCCCCCAAAAGATCTGTTCCGGCCCTAACCCTCAGTGCCTATGAAGGTGACCTCATTTGCAAACAGAGTCTCGGCAGATGGACCCAGCTAACATGAGGTCATCCCGGGGGAGGGTGGACCCTGATCCAGTATGATTCCTATAGAGACAGAGGGGGAGGGGGAAGCAGAAACCGGTGTCTTGCTGGCACAAGCTAAGGAATGTCTGGGAAAGACAAGAAAGGACCTGCTGCTCCCAGAGCCCCCAGAGCCCATCCCAAACTGCCCGCCCCCAGCTCCTGGGAAACAAATGCGCCATTAAATTTGCACGTCAGGTCAACAACGAAGAGTTGCGCCAAGTCCGCACGTACAGGAATGAACACGCCGTCCTCTGAGGTCGTTGGTGAAATCTGCCCAGCCTCCTGGCTTGCGGGATGGATGCCCACCCTGAAGAAGGAAGGTGCCCAGGAGTCCCTGTGGTCAAGGAGTGCATGCTCCATGGGATCCTCGGTTTGAACAAGGCCTGGCGCCCTGCTCCTGGAGGACGGGCCACGAGAGCCAGCACGGTGGCACGCGGTCAACTCCAGCTCTCGAGGGGTCGCTCTAAGCAGGCCTTGACTCGGGGCAGCTGGTTCCGTGTCCCATAAGGTCACTATGGGTCTGAACCAACTAGAATGTGGGGAGCCTGGTTGGGGGTTTTGTGGCATTGTCTCTACCTAATCCCATTGTTCCAAGCCAATATGTATAGCTCATAGCAGGATTATCCCTTGGTGTTAAAATTCCCTGAGACAACCTTACCATATATAGCTGTACCCATTGTTTTGTGTGTCTGGGCCAGGTGGGGGGGTGGGGGGTGGAGGGGGACGGCATGATTATTTCCATCCATTACAGAGGTAAATTATTAGTTATTGCAAAAGTACCAGTTTGTATTTATTTCTAGCCTCATCTGTGAAAAGGGTGCCCTGTTGGCGTCCTGGTTATACATGGAGCTATATGATTCACAAGGACAGCAGTTCTAAACCACCAGCCACTCCTCGGG